TAAAATACGGTTTTTGGAAGTGAAAAAGAAAAAGTCATTGTATAATTTACAGTGAAAAAACGTAAATTGACATTCCCAGAATTCCCTGCATGACACTTCATATTTGATGTTTTTTTGTTGAATTAACATGTTTCTTAGTTTTTTTGTTATCAGTTGTGTACACTAGGGTTTAATCTTACATGTAATGCTGTTAAATTAATGTTTATTGCATTGAGTGAAGTTCTGGCAACCACAGCTGCCGGTATTTTACCATAAATGTCACAGATTTTTTTTACAGTGTACAGAGGCAAAATTAAAGCCATTAAAGACAGTCAGTTCCCTTCAGATATACTGTACATTCACACAAACCCAATAAATACACATTCAATTAAAAACTCGAATCGCATGAATGGCCTATTTCAATGTCAGAACAACCAATTTCACCTAAAGGTGACACTTTTTCAGCATGCATGTTCATGCATGTTCTGTGTTGTACCTAAAATGTCATGAGGATGAGAGCTTACATGCTTCTGATGTGTTTTGTTGTCTCTTTGTCTCCTCAGATGGACATGTCCGTGCTGACAGAGCTGTGGAGGTTAACAGACCCGACAGAGCCCCGGTTCTGCGTGGCTGTCATTGCCATCATCTTCAATCCGTTCTTCTGGAATGTGGTGAGTCACTGTATCTGCGTCTCTTCAGCTTTAAGGGACGATCAGGTTGTGTTTATGAACAGTTGCACGACTCTTCTAAGCTCACGTAATGCTGTTATGTGAGCAGCTCTTTCTTGCATAACATTTCTAAACATTACTCTGATTTCGGTCGTCCTCCCGCAGTCTCAATTATAAAAACAACGCTGAATGTTCTTGCTGATTGCTCTTGTTTGAAACAGGAAAGCACAGGCCTAGGAAGAGCTGATGTTACAAAGCTGCTCTATTATTATCATGTAAAGAGAGAGTGTTTATATTTGATCTTTTATCTAGGCAGTACTGATAATAAATGTTCAGTTTATCGTGTATTAGGTTGTGCCGACATGCAAAGGATTTGCAAATATCCCTAAGAAACGCATCTGATATGTGGGCTGGTGGACATGACACAGCCTTATTATACTTACTTAACACTGACTAGTCATTCAGACAACCCACCGACTAGTTAATTATGAACACTGATAGTTTTGCACATCCCTAAATGGAAGAACCGCATGAAATCATTTGATATGCAGATTTCTATCCTGCGTTTTCTTCTGAAACATGAGGTTTGGTTACATCACAGCAAAAACGCAGGATTTGCTTGCTAGTTGGTGCTGTTGTGGGTGGGAGGGGCTTTCTCATTTTAGAGAGCATTTGATTGGCTGCAGATCTGTGTAGTGCAGGATGAGTCATCAATAGTTTTGAAAAGTTTTTTCAGAGGAGAAAAACGACTTTTTAATTGACTGTAATTTCACTTGACACTCCTTTTCTTTAAAAAAAGCAAAAAATTGGTGAGCCACCTACAATTGAAGTGTATGGGGCCAAAACCGTTTCAGTAGTAGACACAAGAAGTAAAACAATATGTTAACCAGTGTTATTTTATTATCATTGAGATGCTATTTAAATTTGTATTAATATTTTGATTCAGTTTTTATTTTTATATTTTCTGTGTTCATTTTAATTTTAGTTTTAGTAATTTTGTTTTTGTCATAAATGTCATAAAAAACAAATCTTTTTATTTTCATTTTTTGTCATTTTAGTACAAGTTAAATGAAATGATATGAGAAATGTTGCCTTGGCAACTAGATTAAATAAAATAAGTTTAAGGATTTATATATATATTTATATATATTATATATATATAATATATAATATATATTATTATATATATTATAACATGATTATAGTATTAAAAAAGTAGCTTTTCTGTGTTACATTAAATGCAATTTTACAACTTAATCACCTTTACAGTGCAATATGGACCAAAAATCATATCTTGTATTTTTAGGCTAAATATCGATACATATGAATCTCAACATTTTCTATGAAGTGGTCTAATTGTTTTTTTTCTTTGCATAAGGCACACAAAATTTTATTTTCTGTATTTTATTTTAAATAATGTGATTCCACATCCTGAACAAACAATGTGCAAATTGAAGGCTATAAAAAAAAAGGTCAATGTGAAAGTCTATGTATGTCATGAAAAAAATATAAGCATTTCAAAAAAAATATATATATATATAATAATATTTTTAAAGCAGAAGTCTAAAATCAAGTTAATTATAAAGATAATGTTAACCAGTAAGAGCACGGGGAAAAAAAGTTTTTTCAAAGTTAAATAAAATAAAAGATTATTAAATCATGATTTACAAGAAAATACTATTTCAGTTTTGCTGCTTCTTTGTAATTGTTTGTGAAGTTTACTAGCAATTTCTGAGTGAAAGTGGTTTCTACAACAGTTTTTTTTTTGGTGAACATTAACTTATTTGAACATAGAAACAATATTACAATATTACAGTAGTAACTCCTCAATAGTCTCTTTACAGTTATCAAAATGCTGTTACAGTACATGTGTTAAATGTATGCAGAGGTGGGTAAACGAGCAACCTGGGACTTGGAGATGCCACGATACAGAGAAGTACAGTAGTCCAGTCAAGAGGTTATAAAAGCGTGTATAGCTTTCTCAAGAGACTGCGTGCCGCATCAGGCTCACTGATTGCAAGAAATAAGGTTCGAATGTCCAATGTTTGATGAGCGTAGCTCAGAAGTGCACAGCATTTAGGAAACGGGAGAATAAGCAGAACAAACAAACAGAGCCAGCAGAGCAACAGACGGCAAGTCAACACCAACATACATTTATTTATTTTTTTATTTATTTTTTTAATTATGTCACAAATGCTTTTTGTTCAGCTTAGCTTGTATCGAACCCAGTGAACTGATCTTGGATCTGTTGTGTGGTTTATAGTTGAATTATGAGACAATCCAGCAGGGATGCGTCTTTTATGGATGCAGATTTGCAAGTGGTGCTTCGTTTGCATCTATACACAGACACACACACACACACACACACTCACACACACACATACTCACACACACAGACACATACACACACACTCTCACAGACAGACACACACACACACACACACACACACACACAAACTCCCGCAGATACACTTAGGCGCAGCGCTGAGTGAGCTTTCAATGGGAAATGAGTTTATCAAACCATTACCAATACACATCTCCATTTGTTTTTCCTCTTTTTAGCACTTTTCCTGCTTTCATGCTGCACACCATTTAGAATCTGTAGTCCTTTTAAAGAAGTTTTGGCCAGGTTTTTTTTAAGTTATGGCCTTCATATCTAAAGGAAACATTAGGGTTCCTTTTAAAGGGATTACTGCAGTGCAGTGCTGTTTCAGAGGTAATGGGTGCAGTGCAGGTCATGTCAAGCTGCTTTATACTGGCTTTGATAATAATAATAAAAAGAAAGCAGAAACAGTGCCTGTGTGTGCATTTACAGCTTTTTATACCGTACATTTATGCTGGTGTACATGCTTTTTTGCCTTGCACATGCCTTGCAAACTTGAACATTTGGTTTTCTGTATCTTTTGGTTCTGCTTATCAACATTGTCAGGTGAAGTTTTCTAGCTGGCTGACATAACATGGGTTATTATAGTTAACTAAAACTGAAACTGAAACTAAAAACCCTTTTAACAAATGTGTTATTTGAAATAAAATAAACATTACATTTAATAAATTTGATTTGATGTATTAAAATAACTAAAGCTAAAAATTATTAAAAACTATATAGACAAATTATACTAAAAACAACAAAAATGCACAACAAAATGAAATGAAATGCACAACAATACAGATTCAAAATCTTAATACAAACTATAATAGTTTTAAATGATACTGAAATAACTGTATAAATTAAAACAGTATAATTTTCAACTGTTGTTCCAAAATTTCTTAATAGATCAAATTTAACATTTGATGAAAAAAAATTCAATTTATACACTTGTGGCCAAAATAATATTGAAATGATTAAGATTTTTTGAAAGAAGTCTCTTAGGTTGTATTTATTTGATCAAAAATACAGTAGAAACAGTAATATTTAGAAATATTGTGATTTATAATAACTATTTTCTATTAGAATGTGTATTATATATATATATATATATATATGTGTGTGTGTCTGTGTTTGTGTGTGTGTGTGTGTG